TCTGTTATTTGTTTCATCAGTCATTGCAGGGAGGTTATGTCAGTAACCGTGCAGCTGGGAAGAAATCATACCTCCAGTAGCACTGCAGGTAAAAGTGGTTTGCTTGCTTCTTTTCATCGCTTCTTTTCATCGCTTTAGCACAAGGAATGGGAATGGGAGCCCATCTGTAGGAGTTACCTTCTCTCAGTTCTGAAGGGACCAGGGCCAACAGTTAGGGTTGAAAATCCAGGCCCAGAGTCACAACCACTGACTTGTATCCTTGAAAGCAAAAGCACATTGCCTCTGTAGAGGTCTGTACCTTTCCAGATAATGCCAGTGGCTTTGGAAGGTCTTTGTGGCTCTAAATTCATTGCTTATCTTCTGTGGAATGGTGCCTTTGCTTCTACCTTAGGCTCTGCCTTAGTTTTCATACACAGACACTGTTTCACATAGGAACCCTAAATCAATAGAACTCTTTTGTGATTCCATTTCAGTTCTGCTATTGCCATGGAACTGTGGCTGGAGCATTCACACACATCTGAACCCCTCTGCGGACATTTCTGCCTCTGAGATATCTTAGAGCATGAATCTCTTCCCCTTTTTTGCCTCCTCTTCTACTTCACTCCGTTACTCTATTTGTAATGTCATTAGCAAGATTACCACGTGGCAAGACTCTCAACAGACTAAGAATGGCGTTCCACTGGCAGAGTGCTTCCCTAACATGCATAAAGCCCTGTATCCTAGCCTCAGGACCAAATAATCCAGCCACAGTGGTTCACAACTCTAGTCCCAGATGGACACAGGAGGATCGGAAGTACAAAGTCATCCTCAGTTTCATAGAGGGTTTTAGTTAGCATGGGCTACATGAAATCTGGTTTATAAAAACAACAACAACAGCAACAGCAGCCACAACAAATGACTCTGTAGGGAGCCTTCTAGGCACTCAAACCCAGATAAGGACCCATTGACTAACATTGCTTTCCACTTGGGCTGAATCACCTGTGCAATGGAAAGGACGAGCTACTGCAGGACAAAGCAGAGGAAGTAGTCTGGAACCTGGTGACCACTCAACAGAAAGGAGTGCCCATGGGACTAGAGAGAAGCCTAGATGTCCCCGAATACCTGACAACACACAAAGAAAGGCAACAGACCTTGGTGAAGGGGAATAGGAAATGAATAAATGAAAACTGACATTTGTCTCTATCGATAGGGCTAGTTTTGCAGTCTGGCAATGCAGAGGAATTTCCTCAGTTTCTCCTCCTCCCTTTTTTATGGTGCTATGGATTGAATGCAGAGACTTGTGAACGCTAGGCAAGAACTACAAAAAGAACCACAGCCACAACCTGTCCTCCCTCCCCTCCCTTCCTTTTTTCCTTCCTTCTTCCCTTCCTTCCTTATTTTTGCCTATTTTTCTTTCTTTCTCCTACAATTTGGTTTGCATTTTGGAAAAGTGACTCAATTACCCTGAAATTTAGTTTGCATATTTACAAAGTAGGGCATGTGTGTCTTTAAGGGATGCAGTGAAAATTGAGTAAAATACCCCATGTGAAGGTATCAGCACAAACTACCTTGTTTTTCTCTGAAAGTACTCAGGAAGTACCAACCAGTGCCAGTTGCACCAGGAAGTGTAGCTATAATAAATTAGCCTTCATATCTACACACACACACATACACACACACACACACACACACACACACACACACACACACACACCTAACTGCTTAGCTTATCCTGCCTAAAAGACTAGGAGAAATCTAGAAGAACAACATTAGCCAATTTTGCAACTTGGCTTACAGGAAAACAGGTTGTGGCTTTGGCCTCCACCCTGCCTCTCAACCTCATCTCCAGCCCAGTGGTGTGTTTTCAGGTTTCTTTTAAATGCTTACGGATGGCAAATTCACTGCTGACCAGTAGTCAATGGAAATAAGACCACCATACCTGTTCATATACTATATGGGACCTAAAGCTTTCTGACATAGGACAATAAAATGCAATTCTTGATCTAGAATTATTATAGCAAGCTTCTAGTTCAAAACCATCAATCTTACTCTCTCCTTTTTATTGGGAATTTGAATCCCAGGTACTTTAATATGCTTATGGCAGCACATTCATTTTAAGACAAAACTAGTAACAGAATTCAATATGATTTGCTACATAATCCAAAATTTCTACCAGTTCAAACTTGGCCTATGAAAAAACTATGTATACATACAGTATATGCACAGCTGTCAAAATGTTGAATGCCATTACTTACTTTTCTTATGAATTATAAATTACCTGCCCTTCAGGAATCTTGAGGTAATCATTTTCTTGCAACATACCTGAGGTTGATACATTGTGTCATTGTGCCAAGCCAACAGGAGCCAGTTAATATATTAATCAGCCATTTAATATATTAATCATTTTGTTAGTAAGATTGTTCAGTCCAACTTGGTTGTGGACACCTATAATCCTAGGACTTGGGAGGTTAAGGCAAGAGGATAAGGAGTTCAAAAGCAGCTACATGAGACCCTGTCTCACAAGCAAAGGACCCCAGATCACTCCACCTATTGGTTTATTGACTAGTCCTTATTTAAATTTCCCTCTAGTACTCTAAAAGATAAAATATGTTATAGGTATCCTAGTTTCCAAAAAAGAGATCATATATTGAACTTCAGTTGTAAGGGTGTGAAAAGAAGAAAATGAAGGTTTTATGATAATGGGACCAAGTTCATTTCAAGACCCAGATCAAAGAAGGCTATGATGATGTTAAGGGAAAAATGTGTGTTATCTAGTATGTTCTGGAAAATTCATTTAAAGGTCTTGGAGGCATTGAAGTAGGACTCAAGCAATCTCTCAGAAGTGTGAGTTGTCCTTTTTGTTTAGCTCATGTAGTTTATGATATTTTGTTCTATCTTGTTTGATTTCTGACCCTAATTAGATATTTTTATTCTCCATACTTATGTTCTTATCTCTAATATTTGCCGAGAACTATGCTGTTACTGGGAAATGAAGGTTGAATAAGATTTAGCACATGGACTGCAATATTATAGAGGCAGCCCATAGGGAAGAGTTTTCTGACTTTAGGCACTGAGTTCCTGGAAGCCTCACCAATTACACACACTCCTTGGACAAGGCACTGTAACTCTAGAGTATTGGCTCAGCATGGAGTTAATAAATATAAGCATCTATGATATTAGGAAAACCAGCTTTGTCCTCGTTGTTTCTCCAGATGAGAAAACTATGGAACAGGGAGATTTATATGATGGGCCAGCACCAAGATAAAGCAAGTCTCAAGGGCAGGAGTTCAACCTAGAATTTGGGCTTCACGGCCTCTAGTTTGCTATGCTATTTCTTATTGGAATGCTAAAAACTTGACTCATAAGACAACTGACTAGTCCTAGGATAGACTCTTTGAACATATGCTTTCAATGATAAATCATAAAATCAATGCCATGTGGAAATAGACTTCAGTCACAGCAGTTTGGGAACTGGTCTGCTGGAAAGGTGGTCACTGCAGTCATGTAGTAGATAGGATCTGAAGGAAGCTCATGGAGAAACTGGAGCTAACACAGGCAATAATGCCATCTTGTTGGTTATTCCCATGAAAAGAGGAAGTTCTGTGACATTCACTCCAAGCTCCTATTTATTCATTTGTGTGTATGTGTATGTGCATCTGTGTGAGTCAGAGGACAACTTGGGACTCCTTCTACCATTTGGGGCCTGGGGTTTGAACTCAGGCCATTAGATTTGAAGATAGGTGTGTTTATGTCCAACTATTTCACCATCCCTACAGCCAAATTTCTAAGGAAGACACCTGGGTGAATGTTGAGACCCTTTTCTGTGAACAGATTAAAAACAAGAAGAGAGGAGGACATAGGATTGTAGGTGTTGCTCGTGGGGAAGGAGTTTGGTCTAGGTGTGGTATTCAATGGAATGAATATCACTTGGGCATGAAAATGTCTAGAGGACAAAAGATAGAGTTATGGAATTAAAGGTCGTATCATTTCCCCAAACAATACATATGTCAGAAAGTAAAAGGGTATATCTGAAATCTTGAGAATTTAAATAATAACTGTAAGAAGAGACTGTGATCTTGATAATTAATTTGATAGAATTTAGAATCATCTTAGCAACAAGATGCTGGGCACATCTGGGAGGGATTATCTAGACAAGTTCAATTAACAATGGAAGACCCACCCTAATTTTGGGCTGCACCATCCTAAGGCCTGGAGTCCTGAACTGAGTAAAAAGGAAGAAGGAGCTGAGGACCAGCATTTGCTGACTTCCTGACTGTGGACACAATGTGCTCAGTTGCCATCTGCTCCTGCCCTATCTTCCCTGCCGTGATGGACTGTATCCCCTGACACTGTAAGTCAAAATAACCCCTTCTTTACATTGCTTTTGTCAGATATTTTGTTGGAGCAACAAGGCAAGCATGTGATACAGATATCAAGCCAGGTAGCGGTGGTCAGAGCACTTCTCCTAAGAAAAGGGTGCTTTCTATCAGCTCATGAGCCCCCATTAATGAATTTGCAGATTTTCCCTGTCTATATTAGACAGTTTCTTCAAAACAGCCACTCTTGAACCAGTGAGGTGTCTCTGCAAATAAAGGCAGGTGCTAACCGGCCTTATGACCTAAATCTTATCCTCAGTACACAGAGTGGAAGCAGAGAACTAACCCCCACCACACACACATACAAGCATACCCGCAGTAAATAAGTCAAATGTAATAATTTTTAAAAATCCACTTTTGAGATGTAAGTAAAATGTGTCTCTCAGGAAAAGGCTGATCTTCAACATACTGAGGTTGTCCGCTGGCTGTTCTGTGTCCCTAGAAGGAGAAGAGAAGGACCCTTTGCTGCTGGGTTATCTTTCGAACTTGGACTTCAGTTGACTATGATAGTGTTGGTTGCAGCTGTTAGTTGGGGCTTCATGCTAACTCTGCAGTTCCCTGTCTTCTTTCCATAATATCATCCTTCTCTAATGACAGATATCACATCTACTTAGGACAATTGACAAAACAGCAATGGTTACTAACCTTACTGATAAATCAGTGTGAAGAGAGAGGGAGGCAGATCTCCTCACAAAAGGATCATTTTCCTTTCAGTTCAAAAGCACAGAGTAGGCACGAATTCTCCATGGGCATAGTGGTGAATTCTGCCTCCCCCTGGGGTTAGAAACTCCCCCAGAGCTCTGAGGAGGCAGCTGCTATTCATTAAGATGAATACATCCCTGATGAAGGCGATAATGTTTCCAGAGGAACCTGCTCTGGACGGCCTCTTCACTGAACTTGTGAACTCTTCTACTTCCTGCTTGCTGAGGAAGGCTGCCGTCTACAAAGGAGCTTAGCTTTTGCCTGCTTCTCTTTCCCAACCTTTGAGTTGACTGTGGAGACTTTCCAGTGTTTGCATTCCAGTCTCTACCAATCCCCCTTTCTCAGCAGCCAATAGAGAGGCACACACACACACACACACACACACACACACACACACACACACATTTTTGTGGTTTTATATGAATGCCTCAAACATACTTCCAAACAAAGTCATGAGAGTTGGTTTAGGAAAGATTTGCTTCTCTATTCTGACTCAAACAGCAATTTGAATTGTATCAATAGGAAAGAGGAGGCGACATTCCAGATTAAATAAAAACACTTTCACTTTACACATTAGGCAACTGGACTTAGGCATCAAACAGAAAGAGATTCTGTTGATTATGGCGTTAGGTGAAAGAGCAATTGTGTTTGTTTAGTCAAAATAAAATTAAACATTAATGTTAATTCTTCTAAAGTCTACATAGATATAACTATTATCCCTAGGTTTCTTCCTTCTAGTACTGTGTGGCAGATCCTCTCACAACCATGTTTTAAAAGCATAGCTATAACTTCTTTGACATGCTTCCAAACAATGGTGGTGTCTCTACCCTCAATCTTGATTATAAGTGGATGCATGACAGTTTCAAATGGAGGATGGCAGAAGTGATGCCATGTGAAGCCTGAAACTGTACCATAGAAATTCCTGAACCTCTGCTGTGTCCATCAGATCAGCAGCACTTCCCCAAGGGTCTAAGGCACCATGTAAGAAGACCAAGGATCCTTGGAACACTGTCTTATTTAATTTTCTTTACAACTTTAAAAAATGTGTTTTATCATTTACTTTTACGTTTATGAGCATTTTACCTGCATGTATGTTTGTGCACTATGTTCATGCAGTGTCCACAGAGGCCAGAAGATGACAATGAAGTCCCTGGAACCAGAGTTGCCCATGGTTGTGAGCTACCATGGGGCGGGGGGAGGCTGGGAATTGAACCCAGGCCTCTGCAAGAGCAACCAGTCTCTTAACTGCTGAGCCACTTCTCCAGTCCTTAGTTAGTCTTTGATTGCTGTGACAAACACCATGACCAAGGCAACTCATAGAGTTCCAAAGTGTTAAGAGTCCATGGTGGCAGAGGGGAAGGTAGCAGGTGTCAGGCAGCTGGAACAACAGCCAAGAACACATATCTGGACACCAACAAGAATCAGCATGCACTCAAAATGCTGTGAGTCTTTTGAAACTCAAAGCCCTCTCACAATGACTTACGTCTGCCAACAAGGCCATGCCTTCTGATCTTTTCCAAACAGCCACCATCTGGAGACATGTCTGAGTCCTATGGGGTACATCTCATTCCCGCCACCATGAAGGAAGAACTCATTGAGCTATATTCCCAAATCCTTTTTAAATTTTTAAATCTTTTTGAAATAAGGCCCCAGTAAGTTGCCTAGGCTAGACTGGTGGTCACTATGTCATGTAGGTATGTAACATGATTCTTCCCCCCAGCTGCCTAGGTCCTACACTGTCTCAGTCCCTAAATAATACACGAGACACTGTATTGATTATGAAGCTGTTGTTTGTTTTCTATGGTTTCTCGTTGACTAGCTCTGACTTAATTATTAACCCATAACTGCTAATCTGAGTATTTCCACGTGGTCTTCTCTTACCGGAGAAAGGGTCCGGAACTTTTACTTCTCTCGAGTCCTACATGGCAGCCCTCTACTCTTGACTATATTTCACAGAATCCCCTTGGACTCCTAGTCTCAACTATCTTGCTTCCCTATTGGCCAACAGTACTTTATTTATCAACCAATAGGAGAACATATACACAGAAGGACTTCCTCCATCATAGGTAGGGATTGAATTTTCTTTCCTCCTGTAGAACTGACATGACATGTGTGCACCACCATATAAGGCTTACGTGGTGCTGAAGAGCGAACCCATGGCCTTGTATGTGCTAGGCAAGCATTCTCCTAACTGAGCTACATCCCAAACCCCAATAGCATTCATTTTTGACTAAGTTACATGAGAATGTTTCTACTAGGCTTTGGTGGTTTTGTCTCTATATATATTTGCATTCTGGCACTCTGGCTTAAGAGCAGACACTATCTGAGCACTTTCGTTCTGACAAAGGACACAAGCAATGAAAAGACCCAAACCACAGGCACTTCTCCTCAGACATGTCTTCTCAGTGTTTGTTCACATTCCATTAGTCAAAGGAGGGCAAAGTTCATCAGACAATGTGATTACCTGGGCAGAACAAGTACAGGCATTGAAGAAATAAATATGAACAAATAGCATCTATCATGGTCTTTCATGCTAACTGGTTTCATTTCTCCTGTTTCAAATATTTTTTGTGAATTTATACTATCTTCATTTTTTTATCTTTTTAATAGGTTTGAGCATAGATCGGAGGTAAAGTTGAGTGTTCAGTTTTTAATGTTTAGCTACTACTTCAGGACCAAGACAAGGGGTTATAAGCACAGACCAAGCCATGGGGTCACAAGCATGAACCAAGCTTCAAATCAAGTTGAGCTGCAGAAGCTAGAGGTGTGACAAAGGAGGCTACAGGGGCATGATTAGTTTTTGGCAAATGAATGGTTAGATTGATGGATAGTAGGTCCAAATGAACAGACAGGCAGGCAACCCTTTAAGTAGACTGTATCAACAGTGGGATTGAACTGAGCTGATATCCTTAGGACAGTCAGGGGTTCTTTTTCATGTTGATCTCTTGGCATAATCACCAAGTGAGAGGTCTAGGAGGCCCAGTTTTAGGAGCCCCCTCTTCATGAATTCCAGGGGAGTAGTAGCAATCTTCCTTCAGTCTGATGTATCCAATAAGTTATCAGACATGGTTTTCCTCATATGACTCTAATACAAGCATGTATTTTTTGCAATTTAAATTAACTTGATAAATTTGTAGGGTGGCATCCTTTGTACTTTCAGGAATAAGTCTTCTATCTGTGCTATATGGTTGGTATGGGACAGATGATAGTGTTCACGTGTCTACCAAAGTTCACTTATCCTCCATCCTCAGAATGGAATCAAAAGTTGTTTGTAAAATGTGATCTCTCAGGGTGACATGCAGTCTGTACTGTTTCACAAATATGGAGTGACTGAGGCCAGGATACAACTTGATAATGGCATAAAGTAGGTCTTTTGCTATTCCTAGTACATTAAGAGTGGACAGTAGAAGACAAAGAGAATGCTTCTCTTCAAATGCCAGTTTTATGACGATTCCCTTAATCCCCTACCACCTCCTACTCCAGGAGAATGGATGTTTCGGGTTTGTGTTGAAGAAACTTTTTCTTTGGGTCTACACCTGGGCATTCCTAAGTAGGTAATGTGTTCTCCTATGGTTTGGTAAGTAGCAGTTAATTAAATGTCAGTGAATTGTTAATGAATTAATATACACTTCAGAGTGGAGTTTGGTTTAAATGAACAAAATGCTAACAAACAAAATAAACCACTCAGTTTCATGACACTGAATTTCAGTGGTGATGTTCATAAAATACTCATTTATATTCTTATTCATTTCCTGTTGTCTTTCTTCCTTACATATTTTGGCTTGACTGAATAATTACAAGAAATAAATGCCACTAATGCATTAATCTTTTGCAAAATAAAAATATTTTATAATATAAAAATGACACATTCTTATTGAACAATAAAAAAGCACAATGATAAAACAGTAGAAAGTATATGAAGTGGAATATAAATAAATCACACCACAATCATGCCCAGTGACAGCAGCTATTTGCAGAATTGGAGGCAGCAGTAGTGAAAACACACACACACACCATGCTACAAAAAATCTTAGAAATTATATCAATTAAAATAAAAATTCAGTAAATATACTGGCTTTTAAGTTAGACACAGTGTATTTAATACTCCTACTAAGAAGAAAATGAAAAGATTATTTTTTAAGGTATGGGTCTACAAGAAGACTACTAGGGGCCCAGTATGGTGACACATGCTTGAAATCTCAGGATTTGGGAGGCTGAAAAAAGGATAAGTACTATGAGTTTGGGACCAGCCTTGGCTACATAGTGAGTTCAAGGGCAGCTTGAACTATGTTATGAGGTCCTTTCTTAAGAAATAAAAGAACAACAAAGAAATAGAGTGAGATATGATAGTAAAAATACATTTTGGAATGTAGACAATAGTTGCATGAATGGAAAGTGACCCAGAAGACCTAAAAACTAACACCTCAACTGTTGGCGATAGAAGCTCTGAAGAATTTGAATCTACTCAAAAGCCCAGACAAGCTTACACTAACTGACAGAACTGATCATTTCTTTACAGAAAATTTTGATACATTGATTAAACTTATAAATGGTATTTTTTAGTAATTTTCTCATTTTGGATAATAAACATCATTTCATTATACTGAATTTTTCTTGAGGCTTTCTGGGGGCACTAATGAGTTTAAAATGATGACATAGAAAATCTTCTTAATGTTAATAATCTAATTCTATTTGTACAAAAAGTTGCTCCTGGGTTGCTTCCTACTGATGTTGTTTTCTCTTCATCTCTTTGTTCCAAGAGCTGCCACCATCCTCATCAGGTGATGAGTTAATTAGAACTTAAATGCAGAGTTAGAATTTATAGTTAATTTTGCACAAATTCCATCAGGGAGTATGGTATCAGGTCTACTTTATGTTTTGAGTGTATCACTATCTGGTTGGCTTCAGACTGCATATAGTTCATTCTGTTTGTAAAGAGATATAGTCCTCTCTACTAGTTATGGCTTCAACCTCATTCAATTATTTATTCCCTCTTTTAAGATGGTAAAAGACTGGATTTATCAGTTCAGTGTTCTTTGTGAGGATTAGGCAAATGTTAGGAATCTTTTGTCTGTAGTTGACAAGTAGTGTAGACCTAACACTTCTGTTTTTCAATTTAATTGATGATGTTAACGACGACGACGACGACGATGATGATGGTTGTGTGTATGTCAGAGAGATGTAATGTGAGAATGCTGGCACATATATGCCATGGTGTTTTTGTGAAGGCAAGAAGACAGCTTTTTGGACTCCCTTATCCCTTTGT